CCTCTCGTAGTCCGGGTATATGAGAGAGGCGTCGGTTCGGGAGCTCTCCAAGAGTTGCACGAAATCCGGTTCTTTGTTCTGCTTATAATAGGCCAACGCTATGGACATCGAGTGATACAAAGACATTATCATTAGTATGTGTGTGATATATGTGGTGGTTGCCATCGGCGGTAATCATTACGAACCCAATTGGATCCAAACGGAGAGCGGCGCGGTCTCCGACTGCAATATCTGCAACACTTCCCGACAATCCGGCAGTTCATCCAAATCCAGTTCAATCACTTCGTCCGCCGACTCCTTCAGCGGGATTTCGATCGTATTTCTGGCCATTTTTGCGGATCAAATGACACGTGACTTTCACTACAAGACAATTGGTTTTGCGGGCATTTGTTTGGCTCTTCAGCGCAAACAACAAACACTGCAAACACTGTAAAGCATTGCTTACATACAGTACGGGCTGTACAGTGTATGTGCTGTTTGTTGTTTAGGCCTTTTTATTACTACTATATATAGCGTTGTATTCAAATACTCTGTGTATAAAAGTACTAAAATATCGATCGTTTATAAGTTTAATATATAATTTGTTGTCAAAACATGTATAATAATTATAAGACGTTACGAATTATAAGTTGTTTTTCCAACCCTTTTGCCCCCTTTTCGTTGTATTTCTCAGACATTCCCCCCATTCGTAAACCCCTTCTCCAGTAATAATTAAGTCACAGACTATTTGAGTGTATTTACTATACCTTTACCTTCAATACGAGTGGCAAACGATTGAATGGCAAACAAAATGTAAATAAAAAACAGTTGTTTTGAGGCAAACGTCAAATGAATTACTAAATTGTGTCCACAATTAATACCAAAACATGTGTTCAAACGATAAGCAAAACAATGGCTTTTGTATCGTATATAACATACCATCGGATTATCGTTCAAAACATTTACGCAATTATTTCAATGAATTAATTGAGAAACGAGTGTTTCGTTGCTTTCATTACAGACACCGACCGCAAGATCTTCGGCACGTGAAGACCAAACTCATGGCCACCGATAGCGGGTCCGCCAGCGATGGTCAGTCATGTCTGGCCGCCGATCGCGTGCGACAAATGAAACGCTTTTGTGCCGTAATCGACGTGAAGACCGAATCGGTGGCCGATTTTTGTCGCAAATATAACGACAAGTTTTGGATCAATTTCGACAAAGACTGCGACTTCGGGTTCAAGTGTTTTGTCAAACGCATCAAAGTTGTGGACACCGGCGACGAAGACAATCACCGCACGGATCCGTTGCGCAAAGCGATCGAAACGAACGCCGCGTTTGGCAGACATCGCAGCAGACATTTGACGGATCGTCTGAAGCAAAGGTCGCCCGAAGTGTCGTTGGATTCGCTGTCGACTGCGTTGGACGGCGACGGAAGTGGTGGTGATTTAGTGCTCACTTTGTCTGAAGTGAAATCATTGCGTGAATTGAATCCTCCGTTTGATATAATGCCAAACGGAAACGTCGGGACGCCGTCCACAGTGTTCTTGGAGCTGATCCGTGAGTGCAAACTCCCGGCGCCCGTCATCTCTAAACTGGAACTCGATTTCCCGAAATCCATGAAAAGACGGATCTATTCGAGGGTTGAGTTCACATATAATGACAGAAATAAACGTCTGTTTAAACCCAAATCTAGTGATAAAAGTGTAGAACAATTGGTTTCAAATCATAATCCAAATGATGACAAAGACATGGATTTAATTAAAACGAGAACTGGTTTTGTAATCAATGATAAGTTCAGTTCGACTCAGAGGACAAGTGAATCAAATGCGAAACAAACTGACGGTAAAGACAAAGACCGAGAAGAAGAGGACGGATCAGATGAGGACGAAGAGGAAGAGTGGGACAGATATGAGTCACTGCACGACGACGTGACACAACAGGAGAGGAATAGTGAGCGACTGTTTGAGGAGGAGATTGAGTTGAAGTGGGAAAAGGGCGGCTCAGGTCTGGTCTTCTATACCGACGCCCAGTTCTGGGATATGAAAGACAATTACGAAGACTTCAATGAGAAGACACCCGACGACTGGGATCTCGATCTCAGTGTTTACCGCAACAACGCTTCGGCCGATAAGGAAGCCATCGATTTGAAGACATTGACCGACGAAATGAAGTTACGATTAGGGAAACGAAAACAGAAGAAATATTCTGTGGATTCAGTGTTTGATAAGAGGTTTGCGTTTTGTTTTTCATTTGAATGATTTGAATGCGTTTTTTATAATAGTTTTTGCTGTTGTTTTAGAAAACGTGGTGAAAGTATCGGTGCGTTTGAGAGACACACCAAAGGGTTTGGCCGACGGATTATGGAAAGCCAGGGCTGGAAGTCGGGCACCGGTTTGGGTCAGTCGGTGAGCGGTATTCCGGAGCCAATCGACGATTGCGGACAAATGCCGACCGATAAGAGAGGGTTTGGTTATAGAGGCGAACGGTTAAAGTCATATCAATATCTGAAACCATATGACAAAAATGAATCAAAATATTAATTAATGTGTTTTAAATTGTACATAAAGTTGACTGTACTGATAAATTTTTAAATTAATTTTCATATAAAGTATTTAATTGATAAATATATTAATTGTTTATTTGGTGTGAAATCTCTTAATATGTGAGTGAAGGTTAGCGTTATTGGCGTAACTGTGTGTACATCCGGGCCAACAGCACACATACGGCTTAACGTTATTATGAATATTCATGTGGTATTTGAAATAGTCGACGCGTGCGAACCGTTTGCCACACTCTGGCCATAAACACTGGAACTTCTTCTCACCCGTGTGTTGCAGAATGTGTTTGTGTAGATAAATACCCTCGTAATCACATCCCGGCCAATCGCACCGACGTTTGGGTTTAACAAATGGCTTACGGCCGTGAACTGCGACCTCATGTTTACGGCGGTGCCATTTATTGACAAACTTCTCATCGCATCCATCAGTGTTGCACTTATATGTGGGTTCAATGGCGTGTCCGCGCCGGTGAAGATCCAGACCTCCGCAACTCTTGAACGACTTCTCACAACCCGTGTAATCGCACACAAATTTGTTAGTGTTGTGAGTCTGGATGTGATTACGTAAGTATTCTGTGGAACGGCTTTCATATTGACATCCATTGAACTCACATTTAAATGGGTTATCACTTGAATGTGCGGTCATTTCATGTTTTCTCAAAAGATGTCTAAATCCATACTCTTTATCACATCCATTATATCCACATTTAAACACATGAAAATACAAATGGCCGCGAAATCCATTGTCCGTTTCAAAAGTCTTCTGACATTCAGTTTTCGGACATTTGTATGAATTTGTGTTCAAATCAAACATTTTCTGTCTTTCGTTGAAATCTGGGATTTGAAGAGTAGATCTCGATATTGAACCACTTTTAGCCCATTTGTATTTTTTGGTTGGTTTATACCGTTTCTTCGTTTCGACATAACTATTATCCGATTCTTCACCCAATTCTTCGGCAAAACTCTCGTCTGACTCTTCACTTATGTCTTCGTTCTTATCATTCATTTGATTGACATTTGTTTTAGTGATTCTCTTTTCTGAAGTCTTCTTAATGTCTTGTTTAATGGCTTTAACGACTGGTTTACGAATCACTCGCTTTTTAATTGGCTTTAGTTTTATTGGTCTTCTTTGGCGGACAACTCTTTCTATTGACTCATCTATTGATTGTCTTTTTGTGGATTCACTCGACTCTCGATGACTGTCTTCGGCGATGAGTTTTTCAACAAAGGTTTCATTGTCTTCACATTTAATCATCAATTGATCCAAAGGGTGAGACAATACCTCGAAGTGTTGTTTGTCTTCACAATCGATAAGTGTTTCATATTTTGAGTGAATTTTATTTAAATGTGTTTTCAATTGATTTAAACATTTGTTTGCAAACAATAACTCATCTAAAAGTCGATTGTTTTCAACCATTAATTCACACAAAATATCATTAATACTAATATTGAGTGACTTTTCACTAATCATTGAATCCATTATTGAATCCATTATTGAGTTATAAATACTTTTAATTATAATTAAATCCAAATTAAACCACAATTTATGTCAAAACAAATGAAACCAAACATCAAAACATTCATTGATTTTTGAGATTCTTATGCTTTAAGTCACAAAAAATTACGTTCGCTTTGAATGCAAACTTCAACAAAGTTTTTGATTATTTGGAAAAATATATCAATTTAATTAAAATTAAGTTTTAATCTATAAAATAATATCTCAATCACTCGTACCGATTGACTGTTCACTTAATTCTGTATTAATTGCACCAAATTTTAAAACACGGTTTAAAACAATAGTTAATAATTAATAATGTTTCATAAATTTATTGAATTAAATAAAAACTTCTAATTAATTAATTAATTAAATTTAATGTAAATTACACACAAATAAATTGTTTATTTTGTGTGAAATCTCTTGACGTGTGCCGTAAGATTGCCTAATTGTGCGTAACTGTGTGTACACCCGGGCCAACAACACACATACGGCTTAACGTTATTATGAATATTCATGTGGTATTTGAAATTGTCAATACGACCGAACCGTTTGCCACACTCTGGCCATAAACACTGGAACTTCTTCTCACCCGTGTGTTGCAGAATGTGTTTGTGTAGATAAATACCCTCGTAATCACATCCCGGCCAATCGCACCGACGCGTGGGTTTAACAAATGGCTTACGGCTGTGAACTGCGACCTCATGTTTACGGCGTTGGAATTTATTGACAAACTTCTTATCGCATCCATCAGTAGTGCACTTATATGTGGGTTCAATGGCGTGTCTGCGCCGGTGATCATCCAGACCTGCGGAACTCTTGAACGACTTCTCACAACCCGTGTAATCGCACACAAACTTGTTTGTGTTGTGAGTCTGGATGTGATTACGTAAGTATTCTGTGGATCGGCTTTCATATTGACATCCATTGAACTCACATTTAAATGGGTTATCACTTGAATGTGCGGTCATTTCATGTTTTCTCAAGTGAACTCTATTTCCATACTCTTTATCACATCCATTGTATCCACATTTAAACACATGGCTATACAAATGTTTGCGAAATCCACTGTCTGTTTCAAAAGTCTTCTGACATTCAGTTTTTGGACATTTGAATGCATTTGACATAAAATCAAACATTTTCTGTCGTTCATTGAAATCTGGGATCAGAAAAGTAGATCTGGAAAATGAACCACTTTTATCCCATTTATATTTTTTGGTCGGTTTATATGTCTTCGTTTCGACATAACTATTATCTGATTCTTCGCCCAATTCTTCGACAGAACTCTCGTCCGACTCTTCACTCATGTCTTCGTTGTTGTCATTCATTTGTTTGGCATTTGTTTTAGTGATTCTCTTGTCTGAAGTCTTTTTAATGTCTTGTTTAATGACTTTAACGACTGGTTTACTAATCACTCGCTTTTTAATGGGCTTAAGTTTTATTGGTCTTCTTTGGCGGACAACCGAAAGATAACTGAGTAGATAACTAACAGAAAAGCACCTAAGTGAGCTGAGAGCTACTGACAGAAGCCGCTACTCAAAAAGTTGTTTCCAAAATAACAGAAGTGTAAATTAGTAGTTAACTAGGTTACGTTGAGACAATACCTCAAAGTGTTGTTTGTCTTCACAATCGAGAAGTGTTTCATATTTTAAATGAATTTTATTTAAATGTGTTTTCAATTGATTTAAACATTTGTTTGCAAACAATAACTCATTTAAAAGTCGATTGTTTTCAACCATTAATTCACACAAAATATCATTAATACTAATATTGAGTGACTTTTCACTAATCATTGAATCCATTATTAAATCCATTATTGAGTTATAAATACTTTTAATTACAATTAAAATCCAAATTAAACCACAATTTATGTCAAAACAAATGCAAACAAAACATCAAAACATTTATTGATTTTTGAGATTCTTATGGAAATTCAGTGTTTTTTAATGCAAGCGAAACTTATGTTTCAAATTTTCAAAACTAAATAAAAACTTATTTATATTAATATTAATGTCATTGAAAGTTAGTTATTTGATAATTATTGAATTTAATGGAAATAAATTACCTTGATCACTTATCCTAATTGCTATTAGAAATAGATGTTAATAAATAGTAAGGCTTATTGCCTTTCCATTGAATGTAAGCTTTAAATAAATTGAAAAATTTTTATTAAATTTTTAATTTAAATTACAAATAAATTAATATATTATTTAGTGTGAAATCGCTTGATATGTGCCGAAAGATTAGCGATATGTGCGTAACTGTGTGTACATCCGGGCCAATGACACACATAGGGCTTAACGTTGTTATGAATATTCATGTGGTATTTAAAATAGTCCATTCGACCAAATCGTTTGCCACACTCTGGCCATAAACAAACGAACGGCTTTTCGCCCGTGTGTTGCAGTTTATGCTGACCAATGGCACGACCCGTCCACTCACATCCCGGCCAATCGCACACATATTTTCGTATATTCAATGGTTTGCGGTTATGGACTGCAATCTGATGTCTACGGCGTTGAGATATATTAAAGAAAATCTCAACGCATCCTTTGGTCGGACACTGAAACGTGGGTTCACTTCGATGTCTGCGCCGGTGATAATCCAAACCATGGGAACTCGTGAATGTCTTCTCACAGTCAACGACATCGCATACAAATCTTCTTCTGTTTGTGTTGTGTGACTGCATGTGAGAACGTAAGCAGACTATGGATCGACCTTTATATAGACATCCATTGAAATCACATTTAAATGGTTTATCACTTGAATGTGTGGTCATGTGATTCTTGAGCAGTGACCGCCTATTATACTGTTTATCACATCCATTGTATTCACATTTAAACACACGGTTTGTGTGCTGTCTATAGAAATGACATCGAAATCCGGCGTCCGTTTCAAATGTCTTCTGACACTTACTTTCCGGACATTTGTATGAATTTGTGGTCAAATCAAACATTTTCTGTCTTTCAATGAAATGTGGTATAAGTGAAGACTCTGTTCTTACTTTGCATTTGTGTTTGATTTCATGTTTCTTGAGTTCACTTCTGTTTTTAAATTGTTTATCACATCCATTGTATTCACATTTAAACATAGGGTTTGTGTGACTTCTATGTAAATGTACTTTCAATCCGACGATTGTTTCAAAAGTCTTGTGACAATCAGTTTTCGGACATTTGTATGAATTTGTGATCAAATCAAACATTTTCTGTCTTTCATTAAAATCTGGGATCAGAAGAGAAGGACTCGATTTTGAACCACTTTTTGTCGGTTTACGTCTTTTGATTGCTTTCTTTGTCTTCGTTTCGACATAACTATCGTCTGATTCTTCGGCCAATTCTTCGACATAACTCTCGTCCGACTCTTCACTTATGTCTTCGTTGTTGTCATTCATTTGTTTGGCATTTGTTTTAGTGTTAGTCTTGACTGAAGTCTTGTTATGCTTTGGTTTAATGTCTTCGACGACTGGTTTACGAATCACTCGCTTTTTAATGGGCTTTCGCTTCAATTGTCTACTTTTGCGAACAACTCTTTCATCCATTGATTGTCTTTTCGTGGATTCACTCGACTCTCGATGACTGTCTTCGGCGATGAGTTTTTCAACAAATGTTTTATTGTCCTCACAATTGCTCATCAATTGATCCAATGGTTGAGACAATACCTCGAAGTCGTGTTTGTCTTCACAATCGATAAGTGTTTCATATTTTGAGTGAATTTTATTTAAATGAGTTTTCAATTGATTTAAACATTTGTTTGCAAACAATAACTCATTTAAAAGTCGTTTGTTTTCAACCATTAATTCACACAAAATATCATTAATACTAATATTGAGTGACTTTTCACTAATCATTGAATCCATTATTGAATCCATTATTGAGTTATAAATACTTTTAATTACAATTAAAATCCAAATTAAACCACAATTTATGTCAAAACAAAACATAAAAAATTCACTCATTTTTCAAATACTGTTTACAAATATTGTGTCCAATAATACAATAATTACGTTAAAAGTTGGGCAAAGTTTCAAACTTTTGATGAGATTTAGAAACAAGTGTTTCATTGAAAACATTCATTGATTTGAATCTAAAATAAATATTTTTTTAAAAACTATTAATAAATTATAATAAATTAATCGCAAATTTATTTCAAAGTGTTTTACAATTAATTGTAATTTGAATTCAATTATTAAAAGTTAATTAATTAATGACAAACTCTTTGATTTATTTAAAACAACTTATTATTAAAAATTTGTTTCAAATGTTTAAACATTTCATTTGTTATAACAATTTCTTCACTGAACTGACTGTTGGGTCGGTCTTAGTGTCCGCTCCGGGAGTGTCTGTGGCCTCGGCTTTGATGTCCTAAACGCCGCCGTATTGTGAAATGGATTTCACTTTCTTGTGGTCTTTCATCGAAAACTCATGACATTTGTCCTTTTTCTCGATGTCTTCCGGAGTGATGGCAGCCGTCGAGGGCTGGGGTTTAACCTTCAGTTGTACTTCATTGGTCGCGCTCTCAATGGCCTCGACTTCGGGTAACTCTTGACTCACTAAACACTTAATTTTAATTCCGTTATGAAAGTTAACCGAAAGACCAGAGGAATGGCAGTCATGTACTGTCAAGTGATGTCCTTTTGAGAGACAATTGAGAGCCAAAGTGAGGGGTTGTCTGTCATTCGTGGCCACTGTTTGTGATGGAAATGGAGGCGAAGGTGAGGGACAGCGAGTGATACCTGCGGTGGGATTGAAGACATGATCTGTTGATTCTGTGACTAACCTCTGATGAGGGTCTCTGTCGGGTCATCGG